AAACATACATGTAGATATCATATTTGATGATTACAAGTTCTTCATTTCACACGATTCACCACCATAAAGTGTTGCATACAGAGAGTGAAGTATCTTAATATACATGGGAACGAATAATTATGGAACAAAATCGAGCGGAAAGACATAAATATGTAACAGTGAGGGATTGAAACATAAATATTATAAAACTAATCGAGGGTGAATACGCAAAATTTAAACAATTAGAGGGTAAAACAAATAATATTGACTGACTAAAGAGCAAAACACATGATTACGAACAACTAATAAGAGGACAAAACAGCAATTAGAGAATAATCTGAAGGCAAATACATAATAAATATAGAAAAGCCAGAATAGAAAAATGAATTTTTTTTTTTGGGCGTCCAAAGATAATTCATTAAACAAGTTCATTGAGCATTACAATGTGAAATCAAAGGCCCAATTACAATCCAAAGTGAAACCTAAGAGATAAGCACAAGAGCAAACACGTGTTCACCATTAGATTGCAGCGCTGATATCAACGATCCACCGGCGACGGGGCCTCCGAAAACCACCAAATCTCCTTACAAGAACGAAATCATCGCATGTTGCCCAGAAAACATCTCACCACCTTGATAAACACCATCGACCGTCACTGCAAAAGCCAATCACCCACTACCTTTCATCGAGGCTTCAAGTCGGGGAGATCAAACTCCTAGCCAGAGAGGACAGGTACCAGAAGAAGGAGTGAGAATTTCAGAAGCAGCACCACAAGCAATTCCTGTAAAGAGAAAATAAAATCCGACCAAAATCGGAAGTAGAGATCCGCTAAACGGAAATATTTTACAGCAAGTATTAGATCCGAAAGACGAAAGTACTAGATCTAAAATATTTACAAACCGAACCGGCGAAACCGCCGGCCGGAAACACTAGATCATATCTGAAAAAATGAAGGTTTGAGAGTTTTTAGCGTTTTAGAGAGAGGTTAGAGAGGAATAGAAAAATGATTAAAATCATCATAAATATAGACCAACCGGAGGACA